TTCTGCAGAGTCTCTGATAATTCTTCTGCAGAGGTACCATCATCAAATTTGACATGAATGGATTCATCAACTTGTAGAGATCTTCTGTTGAGTATTCTATAGGCTTTGCTTGAACTTGAGTAGCCTAAGAATACACCTTCATCAGCCTTTTCTTGAAATACCTTCAGATTATCCTTTCCATTGTTTAGAATGTAGCACTTGCATCCAAACACATGGAAGTAGCTGATATTTGGCTTTCTTCCTTTCCACAACTCATAGGGGGTCTTCTGATGATTCTTGTGGATCATGCTTCTATTTTGAGTGTAGCATGCAGTGTTGATAGCTTCAGCCCAGTATCTGATGGGCAGTCCTGATTCTGCAATCATAGTTCTTGCAGCTTCTTTCAGTGTTCTGTTCCTTCTTTCTGCAACACCATTTTGTTGGGGTGTTCTGGCAGCAGAAAGTTGATGGAATGTACCATTCTGATCACAAAAGTCTTTGATCACTTTGTTGACAAATTCAGTTCCTCTGTCAGATCTGATTGTTCTGACCTTCATATTCTTCTCAGTTTGGAGTTGCTTTAGCAGAGATGGCAACTTCTGAAGAGTTTCATTCTTCTTGGTTAGGAACACAGTCCAAGTGTATCTTGAGTAGTCATCAACCATAACAAGAGTATATCTTTTTCCACCAACACTGGGAGTTTCAACTGGTCCAAATAAATCCATATGGATCAGATTTAGAGGACAAATAGAAAGATCTCCAGCTATGGGTTTGAATGAGGTCTTCACTTGTTTGCCTTTCTGACAAGCACTGCAGAGGGTCTCCTTCTTGTAGACAATGTCAGGCAGACCATCTACAATATGTTCCCTTGCCAGTTTGTTGATGGTTTTGAAGTTCAGATGGCTAAGCTTTTTGTGCCAGTCCCAGCTTAGCTTTGAATTGTCCTTAGCTATCAGGCAAGTTCCATCTTTTGCTGTTTGCCAGTCAACAACATAGATGTTCTTCCTTCTCTTGGCTGTAAGAACCACTTCTTTGGTTGTCTCATGCTTGACATAGCATAAGGTCTTGGTGAATTCAACTGTGTAGCCTTTGTCACAGAATTGGCTAGCACTCAGCAAGTTGAACTTTAGACCTTTGACATATGAGACATCTTCAATGATTATCTGGTTCTTGATCAGCTTCCCTCTTCCTTTTGTTTGCCCTTCCTTGTCATTTCCACCGAAAGTGACTCTGGGTCCATTGATTTTCTGGAACTCTGATAGGCAACTCTTGTCACCTGTCATGTGTCTGGAGCATCCACTGTCAATATACCATTCTTTTTCTGAGATGGCTCCAGCACACAGTTCCTGCAAGATTAAAAGGAAGATTTAGGTACCCAAGCAATGTTGGGTCCTGGGGGGTAATGCAGTCTCGGTAGTTGGTACCATTTTGGTCTCATCAGCTGAAACCTTGGTGGATGGTACCCATTGTCCACCTGGTAGTTGTAGTAAACAGATGTATGATTCACTTTGGGCAGATGCTTGTGAGGATCATGCTTTCTGTTTGCATACTTCTGCATAGCCTTCTTGGTTGGAAAGAAGTCCCAGATGCTATCAAGATCAGATGAGCGCTTAACTTTAGACTTCTGAGGTTGACCAGACAACCTCTTCTGCCTATAGTTAATCTTCTCTTGATATCTGCCTTTCTGATAGCAGTTCCTGATACTGTTGTCATGAGATTGTCTGATGAAGTTAGGCCTTTGATTATTATTTTTCTGAAAACTTTTCCTTTGATTAGAGTTTCTGCCATATTCATTAGTTTTCAAACTTTGTTTTGGTTTGGCCTTTAGAGTTTGTTTCTCTGGTATGACCTTCTCATGAACAACTTTAGTACCAGAAGTACTAGCATGGCAATTGGGGCTCAGAGTCTGTGGCACTATGACCTTTTTAGCTTTAGCAACTTTGGTGCTAGGCCTTACAGAAGGCTCACCAGACTCTGGTTCAACATATCCAAGACCAGAGGTGAAGTTATGAGAGTCACCAACATTCTTCATGGAAGATTGCATCTTCAGAAGACTATTATATCTACTCTCAAGTTCCTCAATGTCTCTTATTCTTTTCAGAAGAGACTCATTTTCAGCTTTCAGTCTATCTCTTTCCTCAGTTAAGAGATTAAGTTTACACTCAGTCTCTTTCCTTAGATCAGAGATATCAACTTTCAGCCTACTGTTCTCATCTTTAACAAAAGAATAAGTGGCTTGGATAGTTTGGAACTCTTCCCAGAATGATGACATTGGATCATCATTTAAGGCTGTGCCTACCGAAGAAGAAATAGAATCAGAAGTAGAGCATACCTCATCATCTGATTGTGCCATGAGGCAAAGGTCTTCAGTCTCTGCATCCAAGCAGCAGAATGCTTCATCAGAGTCGGAGTCTGAACTGGACTCTGATTCAGAGAGTGGATCTCTCTCAGCTTGTTCTGAGATAAAGGCTCTTCTCCTTCTATGTTGATCATCTGGTTTCTTTTCTTCTTCTTGTCCTTGCTTCTTGGACACTCTTGGATAGGGGCAGTTTGCTTTGAAGTGCCCAGGTTGTCTGCAGTTGTAGCAGAGGTACTCTCCATTGCTTTCAGAAGACTTGGTCTTCTGATGTGGTCTTCTGATGGAAGATGGACTCCTTCCATCTTTCTTCATGAATTTTCTGAATTTTCTGGCAAAGGCAGCCATATATTCATCAGATAGAAGAGTTGAGGGATCAAAGTTTGTTGCCTTAGAAGTGCTGGCAGTAAGAGCAGTTGTGGTTCTCTCATCTGGCACTTCTTCTTTCTCATCATGCATCTCAAACTCATAAGCTTTGAGATCAGATATCAGTTTCTCTGTGGGATAGGTTTTGATGTCCTTGCTTTCTTGGACAGCAATAACCTTCATCTTCCAGACTGGGGGCAGTCCTCTGAGAATCTTCAGGTTGACTTCTTTAACTGTGAGCTCCTTTCCAAGCTCGGATATCTCACTAATGAGAATCAGCAGTCTCTCATGCATCTTAGCAATGCATTCTTCTGGCAGAAGTTTGAAATCATCAAACTTCTTCATAGCAATGGTCAACTTGTTATCTCTTTCTTGTTCATCTCCTGCACCAATCTCATCCAGCTTATCCCAGATTTCTTTGGCAGTTCTGCACTTCTTGATCCTGTTGAAGTATCTTTCATCAATAGCCTTGTAAAGGATGTCCTTGGCTATATTGTCAAGGTTGTACTGTCTTTTCTCTTCCTTGGTCCATTCAGACCGGGCTTTCTCAATCATCTGGGGTAGATTGTTGTCTAAGGTATGGGCAGGGTTGATCTTCATGAACTGGATAAAAGGTCCATTTTCCAAGACTTCCCACATTTCATCATGAAGGGCACATAGATGTGCCTTCATTCTGATCTTCCAATCATCATACTTCTGATCTGTGAACATCAGATGCTTGGCAAGAGAGTTATCCATAATAACAAATAAATAGAGGTTAAGAACAAGTGGATCTTTGTTCAGAGAGTAACCTAAAAGATTACAAGAACAAGGAGGCTCTGATACCACTTGTTGGTCCCGTTAAATATGGTAATCAGTCTAGAGGGGGGGGGGGGGTGAATAGACTGATTGGTTTTTCAACTTTTTCTCAAAGTCAAAACTGACTTATCAGAGAAGGTCTGATTCTGATGACAGAGAAAGGCTGGTTCTGATATCAGAACTGGCCTTGGCAGCGGATTCTGATCTGTCCGGGTAGCCTCAGAAAAATACTAAGGCAAATGCCTTTCTGATAACTCTGGGAACAAGATCTGCTGAACACAGATTCCAAGTCTTAGAGTTAATCAGTTAATATCCTAAGTGCAGAAATATAAATTGCAGTAAAGTAAATGACACCGGATATTTTATAGTGGTTCAAGGAACAACACGTTCCTCTAGTCCACTGTTCCACTAGCTTTGAAGTAGATCGGTTACAAAGCTAAATCCTAGCACTTAAGAAGTTCTCCACGCCTTCTTCAAGTCTAGCTGCCACCCAGGATGCAGTTCCACGTCCTGATGGCTGATCCTTTCACTCAGCTTCCCGGAAGTATCACCACTTCACTACTGCAGTTACTTGGACGCCCTTCTTTTCAGAAGATCCTTTGAAAAACAGAGTTTTTCCTCCAACTAGCTTCGTCACAAATGATGTTTGATGAAGTTCTTGAAGTGTTGAAGAACAGGATGAACTTTGCTCGTTGTTGGGGATGAAAGATTTGGAGTTTGAATCTTCCCAACGTAAGCTTGTCTTGTTGAAGGTTGTAGAATTTGAATCTCAAGAGAGCTTGAATGATGGTGTGCAAAAGTTGTAGCAAAGTTATTTTTCTGTTCTTCGGTGTGTAGCTTATATACTGAGGTTGTCTGCCCGTTGGAGGAGGAGACAACTGCATTAAATGCGCGTACAGTTGACTTGACCGCCGTTTTTGGAAGGTTTCTATTTTTAAAATATATCTTCCCGGATTCCTTGGTCAATCATTTGCAATCAATCCTTCAGCGTATCAGGCTCATTTAATGTGCATTAAATGCTTTCCTTTCATGCACAGTCTTCTAGCCGTTGGATGAAATCTTCTAAGTGTTAGTCGGGCTCTGATCAGGATTTTCTGATGTGTTGGATTCTGATGGCTTTCTGATGAGTTGAGTTCTGATAGAGTTCTGTTCTCTGACTGAACTCTGACTCTGATAGGTCCGCTGATGAGTACTTCTGATCTGTAGTTCTCATCGGCTATCAGATGTCCAGGTTTATCAGCAACTCTCATGATGCAACTCTGATGGACTTCTGGTAAGAGAACTCTGATGGAGCAGTTCTCATAGAGCAAGTCTGGTCGAGCAGTTCTGATGCACTTCTGATCTGATCCAAAGTAGAGCAACTCTGATCGTCGACTACACTAATACTTACAATTGAAAATTCTAATACATAAAATCTAATTGGGGGTACTCTAACTTTCTAATCCTATAGCATCATCAAAATCTAATTACATTTATTCCTTACACTAAGTATTGTGGACCTTTTCCAGTAATAGAAAGAATAGGGGCTGTGGCTTATAAACTAGCATTACCAGAAGGAAGCAGGGTACATCCTGTATTTCATGTGTCATTATTGAAGAAAAGGGTGGGAATGAGTGACACTGTGTCCAGCAAGTTTCCTGCCATGAATGAAGAAGGTAATATCATACTGTTACCAGCTGGTGTTTTGGCTAGAAGAATAGTCAAAAGGAATAATGCTGTTGTAGTACAATGGTTGATCAAGTGGGCACATTTACAGCAAGATGAAGCAACCTGGGAAGATTATGATGTTATCATCAAGCAGTTTCCAGAAGTAAAAGCTTGGGGACAAGCTTTGGAGAAAGAAGGGGGCAATGTTACAATAAGGCCTTCTATATTTGGGCCTAAGTGGTGTATTTGGGTTGAACTATTTGTATAGTCATTACTCTCGTAGTTTGTTAAAGTCCATTTACTAATAACAAACTGTTAGTTAGACTCAGATGTATATAACAGACTATATCAATTGTAATCGGGCATTGCTGAGCTAATACACAAAACTTCTCTCATTTCTCTCCCCATTTTCAGTTGCTCATTTCTGTATAGCTATGAATGTTTCCTTTTCTTCTTCACATTCATAACATCTTCGTCTTCTCCACCACTGCACACCAGATCTCCATCTAATAACAAGCTCACGCGACATCGACACCGACCTCCAGCAAAAACGAAAGCAACCACCATTGGGACGCCACTGAGAAGAGGCGGCGACGGCCAGCGACGCCGATTATCTTCTTCTTCTTCGCTGCTCCTCTCTCGCCGTCGTTGGGTTCATCTCTTTCATCCCAACAACCCTAATTGATGGAAATTTCAGTTCTATGGTGACGATTTCATATCTGTGACATATATTTGTGTGGAGGCGAGGGGCAAATCGGTGATTTAGATGACAGAAATGGTGGACAAAGATGGCTAGGGTTTGGTCTGGGTAGTGGCGGTAGAGTTGGGTGACGATGGCTCGGGGTGGGTCGCGGCGCGGGGAGCTGGAAGGTCAAGGAGGGGGCTGGGAAGGTCGGAGGTGGAGTTATGGAGGAGGTCTGGCATGCTGGAGAAGAGTCTAGGGGGCTGGCCGCTAGGGCTGGGGCTGCATGAGGCAAGGGGCAAGGTGATGTCACTTTATTTTAGTCACATTTTTGTCAAAATGTAAAAATGGTCACTTTTTTGGAAATCAACCTTTATTTAGTACTACGTAATATTCAGGGAATAACCCCAAGATACTATTAGATATGAGCATAATTCCATCGAAGAGTATATAACAATTGCAGTGAGAATGTAAACGCGCGACCACCGAATTGTGATAGAACAATTGTTTACCGTAGACATGTTTTTATATGGTCACCAAACTCTCCACCCTTTCTTTGAAAAGTGACATTAAAGATTGTTTTGCCAAATATGAATAATGTTTGTCTATAATTAAAGGTCAAATATATGACAAATTAAGTAGTGTCAGACCGATAAACTCTTTGATTTTTTAATGGATAAAAGACTTATATTGAATAAAAAACACACATGAAAAAACATGTCAATTCGCAATAAATTAGTGTCAGACTGATAAACTCTTTGATTTTTTGTACTGCAATATGATAAAAGTTAGATATATAAGATAAAATTACTATCTATGTCCCTAATTGTTTTGCAAAGTCAAAATGTTTTGGTCAATCAATAATAAAGCTAAATCCCACCTATTGATAATTAATTCAAATTTTTATAATTAAAATTTATATATTCATAAAGTACATTAGAATCTTTATAAAGTTTTGAAGCCCAAATTAAAATTTAATTAAGAATAAATATCCTAATAATGTTTCGGAAGTCAATTTGGATGAAGGGAATATTAAATAAAGTTGTATATATTGAAAATGAAACAACAAATTTGAACTATACTTTATCTTAACACAGTAGTATTATATTTCAAAACAAGTACCAATAAATTTTGTGGCACAATGTGTAGCATTCGACATTTTCCTAGTTCAGAACTGAAATTCTAACCATTTCATAGTATCAGAAATTTAACCTAATGTAAAATTCGAAACAGTGCAAGGATGATTCATTTCTAAATCAATTTATGCCTTTTTACATAAAGACAAATACCGTTTCTTAGAGTTGTCTTAATGAGTTCAAAAGATGACATATAATACATAGATATGATGTCTATCGCTTGAAACCGGCATTTAATAATTGGGTTCTGATCACAAATATTAATCTAAAACGGATTAAACAAAATAGATTAGTGATGCACCCAACTCGGCGCGACCTATTCCCATCCATCTGGTAGTGTCACAGTTTTGGAAAACTATTGGCTCTGCCACTGTAAATATATAATTCTCGTGAAGTAATACGAGAGTATGAAAAAAAGAAGTCGTCTACTTTATTTTTTCAAATGTCCCAAAATAAAGTTATCATTTCTATAAAAAAAATGTTTTCAATAAGAAATGTGACAACTTATTTTTTGTTATCTTTTACCTGATTAGACATACACACACATACATGTGTGTTTAGTGTGTTGTCTCAATGAGAATAGTCTTTAATTTAGTGTTAGAGCACACACGTTTGGATCAAACGTATTGCACAATGGAGTTCATCTGCTGCACTTAATGGTAAATATGGTGTCCTCACGTTAAACCGTGTTCTCATTTGATCCCTTATCATTGTGTGTGTAAATCAAAATGGGGATTTATTTACGGGGTAGAGGGTAAGAGCCTCGGAGGAAGTATTGTTTATGTCTAAGTGTGAACTTCTTTGCGGCACGGAGAGAAAATTATAACAAGTACATAGTCAAAAAAATTCAAATAAAAAAATTATTATAGAAGTACACTGGTTTGGTTGAAGGGCTTAAATAGGCTTAAGATAAAACAAATTGCATCCATTCATTGGTTCTTTTTCTGTACTTTTTCTAGTATAATACTTCGTATATGATAAGAAACATTAACTAAATAAATGAAACAAATTTAATTCATCTAGCAATGCCGAATTTTACAAGAATAAGTGAAGTATAAGCATCTAGATTTATTTTTATTTATTAGAAAACTCAAAATTGGGAGAATGATTAACAAATTGGGTCACTTTATGATCAATTTTTAACATTCCATAACTGAATGAGTAAGAATAATAATCACTAACTACTACATGCGGTATGAACATATGTGCGATCTAGCTTTTTTTCTTAATATTTTTTTGGTAAACTATCAAATAAGTCCCCTTAACTTTTCAAAAATCAATTAGACCCCCTTACTAAAAGTTCATCCAATTAAACCCTTAAACTCATTTAAAAATTGCAAATCCTCCTTTTAGTAGGTATTCTATTATTTTTCCCGGTTAATTGCTTATTTGGTGTGTGATGTGGCATTTTTATTTTCTTTTTTTCATTTTCATCTTCTTTTTATTTTTCTTTTTCTTTCTTTCCTATTCCCCTTTCTTTTCTGCGCTTTCTTCCCCTGCGCCTCACAGTCTATGCAACTACTTCCTTTTTCCTTCTTTACTTCTTTCTTTCCCCATTTTCTTCTTCCACCCAGTGTTCTGCTCGTGGTTTCCCGACCTTCACCCTCCTCCCTGCGCCTCTTCTCTACCGTTGACTAGGGTCTACACCCAAATTGAAGCTACGGATCTGGGAGTGGTCTGGAGGCTTCAAGAGCACTGTCTCGGACTTGCTGACCTAGAATCTTCGACGGAGCATCTTCCCCGACTTCTAATCCATCGAATCACCGACAGGGGAAGACTAGAGTGCGAGTACTTGAGCATCTCCGGCGAGGCAGCGACCTGGGTTCCTCTCGGACTCTGTCCAGTGCTGCGCCGATGGAAGACCAATCCTTTGCTTGGTAGAAGAAAGAAGAAAGGGCAGAAGAAAGGGTGGGTGGAAGTGTGGAACTTGGAAGGAGAAGAAAGGTGGATCGGAAGAAAAGAAGGGGGGAGGCGGAAGTTTGGAATGGAACGGTCTGGTGGAATGAGAAAGAAGGTGGAGGAAAAGTGAAACAAGAAAGCAAAATGAGAAAGAAAGTGAAAAAAATTAAAATAGTCACGTGTGTTGCCATGTGTACATGCATATAAAACCGGTAACCTATTCACTACTGGTTAAAAGGAAAATTTGATATTTTTAAATGAGTTGAAGGGAAGGGTTTGATTGGTTGAACTTTAAGTAAGAGGGTCTAATTGATTTTTTTGAAAGGTTGGGGGGTTATTTGATAGTTTTCCCTTTTTCATTCTTATCTTGTCAAAATTTGTTTATTTATTTACGATTATATATTATTTTTTAATTTGATATTATATTGTATGTGTTAGCAGTGTAACGATGAAACATAGTAATGGTTAAATCCATTTTTAATTCTTAATGGTTAACTGATAGCATTGGATTAACAATTCTTCAAATGGTTCTTTTTTTTCTAAGAATCGAACCAATCTCACCCCTATATATTTCTTCATAAAATAGATACTCCATATATAAAAAGTCACATTTTATTTTTTAAATTTATCTTATGCATTATTATTGATGTAGAATATCTTTGTTCAATTTTATTTATCATAAACGATTAAAATCACTTTTTAATTTTCCAATCTTGCATATCGATCCAAGACCATCCTAGTCTCACCTCCCCGACCCGGTACAAGTCCAAGCCTGGTAGGTCGGTTTGTGATCCCATGTAAATAATTAGTCAATTCTGGTATAATTCTGGAATCATATCTATGCGTACTTGTGATGAGTAAACGTAAACACAAAAAGTCTGCGAGAAGAGACAACTGCAGAGAGCTAATGTATAGTACTAAAAATGAGTTAAAAGTCTGCGAGAATCTATAATTTTAAAAGTCTATATGAATGAATAAAAGTTTCAATATGTATAAACTACTTTAGACTTTTAAAAAATCACCACTAATTTTTAAATTACTTCAAATAAAAAGTGATGAAATTAACAGGACAACCAAAAAATGAAAGTTGACATAATTTTAGGGGTGGAGGAAGTATATAATACGCCTTCACTCCCTATCCATTCATCATGAAACTTTTGATGTGATTTGTAAATATATAAATTTCAAATTCCTGTATTAAATTAAATAATACGGAGTACAAATTATGGATTTGATCGAAATGGTGGAGTATATAATCTTGGATTCCCAAATTGAGCCCCCATATATACTACACAAAAATGGTCCAACAGGCCATTAAAAGTCCAACAAGCAATCAATCACCTCTCGGTTGTGCCACCACAGCCGGGGGCCACAACATGGACGCGTATACCATACAGCCGGCTGTACGGCTGGCACCGTACAGCCGGTGGCATTTTTGTAAATTTGATGAACTTCATGAATTCTCTTATATGAGCATTGATGCAAGTTGGATGAGCATCGAGTTTGTTCTTCTGAGTATTAGGAGTCTAACAATGAGCACCAGTGATCCCTGCTTCATATCTTCTAATTCAGTTTCTTTTTATTAATTTTCGTTTATAAAAAATTCTTAAATTGTGTTTAAAATTAATTTCAATATGTCAATCTAATGTAGTATGATATGTTTGATATGTGCATCATTTTAAAATGAGCATAAACCAGTATCAAATGAGCATATATAATTTACAAAATGAGTATCAAAAAAATCAAAACTTCATTTGTGTATGCTCATTAATTTTGGGCGTTATATTTGATATGAGCATCATTTTAAATTGAGCATAAAGCAGTACCAAATGAGCATACATAATTTACAAAATGGGTATCCAAAAATTCAAAAGCTTATTTGTGTATGCTCATTGATTTTGGACGTTATACTCATTTAAGTTTAACAAAAAAAACACATTTTTAATGTGTTTAATATTCAATTGTGTATGTTCATTTCTTTGAGGCGTATACTCATCTGAGATTTATATAAAACTCATTTTTAATGAGTACAAAATGAGTATCAAAAATTCAAAAGCTCATTTGTGTTTGCTCATTGATTTAGGGCATTGAATTTGAATCTATATGAATCTAATATA